TATATGGAGTTTTCATGACAAACAAAGAGCAAGAAAAAGCCACATGGAGAAAAATTCCTGAGAACCACAACAGAACTCTATGACATATTCAAAAGACTGTTAACTATTACACACAAGTGAAGAAATTAAAGCTGAAGAAAGACATGTCTCCCAAGATCAGAGGAGGAAACACCTGTCGCTTATCCAGGACCCAGAATAGCAATGATTCCTACCAGTCATACTGAAACATTCAATAACAGATCATGGACTTAGAGTTCAAAGGATTCTTACCTTAGAAATGGTAAGGTAATAGCCCTAGATTAAATACTGTTCTGGTCACATGTAACAAATACTTTTAAAACAAAATTTTAAAATATCAAATGGTTTTTAAGTAATTTAACTATAGGAGGGCATGAGGTCCTTGTACTTGCTGAAAAGTGCTAAAGACACCAGAACTGTTAAATACACAGGCTTTTTTCTTCAATGGAAGAAGTTGACACCTGTTCACCTGAAGGCTGGAGTGGATGTTGATAACTGGTGGTCTTTGTTATTCTGTGGAGTCAGCCTTCACCCGAATCCCCCAGACTTCTGAGTCAACAGAGCCATCCTTATGAAAGGTGTCCCATGTACTTCATGAAAGAGTTTGCTATTATGCTTATTACAAATCCTTTCTCCCTCAGCCCTTAGCCCTAGCATTGTTTTAAAGTCAACAGAACCCATCCAGATGGAAATTTGAACAGAGGGGCACATGAGGGGACAGACTTTTAGTGCTGAAGGAGAGCCTGCAATAATTCAAGACTTGGGATAACAAGGGGTGCTGAAGATGACCAAAAGCTATAAGAGTAGGAATCATCTTCTAGAGCTCTAAGAGTGTGTCCTTGCCCAGACCTTGAGTGTAGACTTCCGGACTTACAAACTACAAGGAAATTAATGCATCTAAATCTAAGACATCAAGTGTATGGGACTTACTTTGTTATAGCAAGTCTTGGAAACTAACATAGGCATCAAATGAGTTACAGTGTTCTACATGTGTAGTGAGATAATCCTTCTGTAGCACTGACCACGCCCATTGGGGGGTGGAGCGATGGGCGGAGGTGACCTGAGGAAGGAGGTCGGAGGGGGCCAGGAAGGAGCTCTCTCTTTCTGGCGTGACTTGGACAGGAGAGGGTCAGGTTGAATTTCCTGGTGTTCATCTGTCTAGGTTGTAAGTTATTTCTCCCTGAATAAACATCTATTCGGCCTATTTGTTTATCCTGATCCTTATTTACCGCAATAGTACATGTTTTATGGAGAAAAAGAACTAGAAATGAAAACAGATTAAATATTCCAGGAAAATTTTTAAAAATGGAATTTGGAGGCAGACCAGAAGAAATCACTCAAATGAAAAGCAGAGAGAAAAAAATTCAGTTTAACCCTCTCCCAGTTGAACTATTTTGACGTTCAGTAAGACTTTGTATTCTTGGGAAAAAATGTTTGAGTATTTTGTTTGTGGAACAACTCCAGCCTGGTGTAAGTGCAACAACTGGAATCCTAAACAGAAAGTAGTGAGAAAATGAAACAGAAGAGAAATATAGCTGAAACTTTCCAATTTTGACGAAAATCATAAACCCACGTGTGACACTTAGTGTCAATTGTCAACTTAACAAAATCTAGAATTATCTGGAGAAATTGCCTCTGCATGTGCCCATAAGGGATAATCTTGACTACTTTAACTGAGGTGCAAAAATACCCACTGTGTCCTGAACCATTTCCTGGCTGAGATCCTGGACTGTATACATGAAAAAAAAAATTAAAAAGGGGGTACTGAGTACTAGCAAGCATCCTTTGCTCTCTGTGGATGTGGCCTGCATCCATTGATCTCTGCTTCCCCCGATGGTGGATGTGGTATGACCAGCTGCTTCAAGTTCCTGCTGTCTTGACTTTTCTGTCCTGATGGCATTACCCTTGAACTGTGAGTCAGAATAAACCTTCTCTCCAACAAGTTATTTTTGCCAGAGTATTTCATCACTGCAACAGGAAAATTAACTAAGACATCCTTTCCTCATCTCAAAGAAGCTTCTTTTTGCAATCTGTGAAGAACATTACAGAAATCTGTGGTGATGTATTGTTTATTATGTAACAAAGCCACTGAAGATCAAAATGCAAAGCTAGCCACAGCCATAGAATCAGGCAGTGCTGATACACACCTTTAATCACAGCAGCCATACTAGCTAGGCATAGAGGCCAAACAGTGGTGGTACCCATCTTTAATCCCAGGACTCAAGAAACAGAGGTAGATAAGTATTTGTTAGTTCAAAACCACATTGAGCTACATGAAACTGATCCAGTTTAAAAGAGAAACAGCCCACCAAAGGTGATCTCAGCTCTTAGGATCACATGCCTTTAATCCCTACACTAGGGAGGTGGAGACAGGAGTGATAAGGCTGGGCATAGAGAGCAATATAAGGCAAGAGCAGACAGGAATTCGGGGCATTTGCTTCTGAGGATTGCAGTCTAGGATTCTGAGGCTTGGTGGAGAGAGATGCTGTCTGGAGATGCAATCTGAGGGTCAGTGGATTGTCCCTTGGGTCTGAGCATTGGTAGAGGTGAGAATTCTCTAATGGCTGGCTGCTGTGCTTTTCTGATCTTCAGCTTGAACCCCAATATCTGTCTCTGGGTTTTTATTGTTCGTGCTACAGAAATCCACAATTGGCCAAATGTAGAGAGCAAATATCCACCAAGTTCCCAACCCTAAATGATGCACCTACATCACAACCTTTATACCTATAGTTTAAGGGGCACCGTAAGAGAGGGAGGTGGAAAAATTGTAAGCATCAGAGGACCAGGATGTATTCTGAGACATACTGTCTTCTATATATAAGAGGAGAGCTGCACTATTAAAATCTCAACAATATGGTCACCTAAACAAGACCTGCACAATGACAACACCAGTTGACATGTCCATGTGGATGAACTATAATATGCAATCTATGAACTGAAAATATACTGCCTTGAGAATGTTAATGAAATTACCAAAGTTCTCAATATGTCAATGTGAAACACAGAATGAAGACACAAAGTGACAATATCAGGTATGTTAGTGTTAACATTAGAACAGATTATGCATGTTTGTATAAATGTATAGAGATGATATTGTAGACAATGTTATGGCAGTGAATACAGCAATAGTTAACTAATCCTTCATAAAAATAAAAACTACCAAACTGTCTCATGAAAGAACCTGAATAATGTTACACATGTTTTTAGAAGTTAAATTTGTAGTGAAAATCCAATGTTCAAGAGGCTTTGCTAGTAAATTCTACCAGCTAAGAACAAAATATTAAATTGCATACAAACTCTAATACAAATGTGGACAGGAGGAAATATTTCTCAGTTCAGTCTGTGATGGAAGAATCAACTACTGAGAATTACACAAAAGAAACCAAAGAAAAGTGTAGCAGACCATCTTTCCTTCGGAAAATCTACATGAAATTCTCAAACAGAATTTCAGTAAAATTGCTACAAGAATGCATTGCGAACAGCCAAAGAGCATTTATCCCTGGATTTAAGATGTGTTCAACATTTGAAATGCATGCACTATAATTATTCACATTTACAAATTGCCATGGGACCACCACAATGAAGACAGAAAATTTTCTTTTCCCATAAAAATCTCTGGGTGTCTGTTTGTAGTCAGCATCTTTTGAGAGTTCAGTCCTTCAGGATCTCATATAGCCTATGTGACCTAGAATTTGCTGTATAGCCAAGCACCTTGGTCCTCCTGCCCCTGACTGCCTCCTACATGCTGGGGTTACAGAAGCATACCACCACACCAAGTTTATGCTCTGCTAGGTTTGGAACCTTGGCAAATCTAGGCAGTCACTTTGCCAACTGAGCTACATCCCCAGGCCTAATGTCATGTATATGAAAGCTCACATATAAATACACAATTTTTTGAATTTGGTTTCTTGCGACTATCATTCACATTCAAGATTTGTATATGTTATGTGAACTAATGCTTGATTTGTTTCACTGTAGAATAGCATCTGTACATTCATTGTCTTCTTGAAGAAAATGTGGGGTTGTTTATACTTCGGGTGAATATTAATAAAGTTTCTGTAAACACTGGAATGAATGTATCTTAAGCGTACATACAGTTCAATGAATCTTAATATTTACCTGCCCTTTGACCTCCAGCCTAATCAATGTTGTATTTTCAGTCTTCTCGATTAATGAGTCCTTGGATTCCCAGCACCCTAGCCTTTCCATCCTGTTCTAGAGTTGTATATAGAAGAAACCTTGTAGCATAAAAGAAATTAGCATTCTTTTTGTTCCTAGAGGAATTAGTAAGCAAATATACTTTCAAGAAGAAATTTGACATAATCTAATTTGCATTTGTTATTAATATTTTTGCTTAGTATACAAAGAATGAAGTGGCTCTTAAATGTTCTTTTCACCCTCTTTTTCTGGACAGGAAGAAGGGGAATTTCTAGATTTCTAAGCAGGCTCCCTCCTGTTGGCAAAACTGGATTGTCACCGCGCGACAATGGGACCTGCTCACGCAGTTCCCAGTTCTCCACAGCAGATGGCCCCAGAGCCCAGCGCCTGACTTTACAGAGTTGCTCAGGTTGTGCATCTCCATGTAGCAGGTTTAGTGGCTTGAGAATTACCGAAGCGCGCAATGGTCCCGGCTACTCGAGCTGGCCAGCATCGAGAATCCTCCCGGAGTATCACATTCGGCTGCACCCTGAGCTGGCTCTGGCTGTGTTGTCGGCTACAATTCTCAGCAAAGGTGACTTTAACCCGGAGAAGCCATAGTTGCAGGGGACACTAGAGTGTCCAGCAACAGCCTCCTCCTTGGTGACATTAGATGAAGCTCGTTTAGTTGGGTCCCTGGCCATCATGCTCTTATAGGCTGCTCAGCCAAGAAAGGTGGCTCCAAGAGTTGGGAGAGAGGGGGAAAAGAAGGCGCAGCTGCGAGGCTTTAGAAAAAGCTAATGGGTGGCACCGAGAGTACAGCTCCCGACCGAAGTTGGGTATCTCGTCTCGGAACAGAAAGCACTGCGAGGGTGATCAAGTGCGGCAAGCTGGCTTGTTTGGATGGAGAGTTGCCTAGGCAAGCTGAGTACTTGAGAGCCTCTCCTGCCCCCTCTCCAGCGTGCTTTCCAGCGATGAGGTCACAGCCCCTCGGAACCCTCCTCCTCTCTCTGGTCCCTCCCGCCCTCTGATCTCCTCCAGCGTCAGGCGCTGGGCACTGAGAACGAGGCAGCAGCGCGCAACCATGAAGTAACGCAGGAGGTCCCTTGGAAAATGAGGCCAGGGTACCTGCTGCAACTAGCGCTCCTGCTCGCCCTGCCCAGGAGCCTGTGGGGCAGAGGGTGTGTGTCTCCACCCTGCGAGTGCCACCAGGAGGACGACTTCAGAGTCACCTGCAAGGAACTCCATCGCATCCCCAGCCTACCACCCAGCACCCAGACTCTGTGAGTAGCCAAGTCCAGGGCCCCAAATAGAAACTCACTGTTTGTGGTGGGGGTGGGCGGGTGTCTGGTCAGCCCCTGGTCAGTCGCACATACTTGGGAAGGTCGTCTGTCCTGTTGATACAGGGGAACAGAACCCTTAAGAAAACTTTGGTACAGAATGAAAATGAGAGTTGTATTTTCTGAAGAGTTACTGGTCTGTCTATATTTTGCCAACTCCTAGAGCCCGCTGAATTTTAGTTTCATTTAAGGTGATAGTAAGACGTAAGCAACTTAAGAACGAACTTTAAAAAATTACCTTAGATAATAAAATTGCTCCTTTCCTGTAATTCCCCTTTCAGTCTCCCTTGGTGAGAAATGATACTAGTCATTTGACTTATCAAATAATAGTTTAAACCTTAATCAGAGATGGGCAGAGTGGCTCTCGCCTTTAACCCCAGGAGTCAGGAGGCAAAGGCAGGTGGATCTCTGTGAGTTCTGGGCCAGCCTGGTCTACAGAGTGAATTCCAGGACAGCCAGGGCTATGTAAAGAGACCCTGTCTCAAACAACAAGCAAAAAACCTTAATCAGGATCCCATTTATAAATGTACCTGTGGATATGTCAGAACAAAGAAGGGTTCCAGAGAAAATCATAGGGCAATAACAGAAGGGAGTGGGGGAGAAGGGAATTTCATATACATATGAAATTATAAAAGAGTAAAGTAAAATTATTTTAAAATAATAAAATGTACACTGTGTCCTTCATCTAATATATATAGATACTGTGAGCTGCCCAACCTGTGCCACCACTTAGCATATCCAGAATTCCTTTTTAATACACACAAGGAAAGAGATTTCATAAAGCACATTTTCATCTTCATGCTAAAAGTTAGGTTCTTAACCGACATTTAAATCAGTGATCCCTAAAATGGACTGGTTAAAAATACCACAGAAAAAATGATGAGACAAAGGAGGACATGGAGATAAATGAAAAGCAATCCTACTTCAAGATTTTATCGCATAGGAGCAGTCATCAGATGACTGCTTCACAGGGTACATGTTACTGTACTCCATCTCATCCATTAGTGGAAACTCACCCACCCACCCTTGTTTCTTATTTCCCATGGATGCTACTGCAATAACCTCTGAGTAGCATTCCACTCTCCACACTGCCTGCACAGAATAAAACACATAGTGACGAAAACCCTACCATGGGTACACATAGTCTCTAAAATAGAACTCTTGTACTAACTTCAAAATCCATAAGGACAAGCTCACTGCCCTTAGATCATCTGTTTGTATGCTTATCCAAGAAGGCTGAATACCTCCAACACAGGGACCCTGGCATGCAACCTCAAATTTCAAACCAGTCAGCCCCCAAGAAAACAAAAACAAAACAACAACAACCTTAAGTGAATGGATAAATAAATAAATGCATACTCTTGTCTCTGAATGTCAGAGGCCCAAAGACATCCCTTCTTCACACAGTTAGTGGGGAGAGATGAGGTTCTGTTGGGAAAGGGGAATGCTGAAAGAGAGATCATTTATTCAAAAGGACTCAGTGTTTCTTTTACTTAAAAGAGGCTTCTGATGCTATGGGAATGGGAAAAACAAATCGCTGATTCACAGGGACTGATTGCACAGAGACAGGTGGATCTGACCTTGTGCATAGTGGAGGCCAGGCTCTAGGTCCTGAAAAGTGAGCTTACTCTGAGATGGGGAAGACATAGCTGATTTTGTTTTTAAGTGAGGGCGAATGGCATGGTATGCTTGATCAATAGCCCGAAAGGGATGTTCTCTCACAGAGTTTACATTGTTAGAGTGTATCCCTTCTTTAAACTTTGTTAGTGGTTTTTGTTAGCATATGTTGATTTATACATAATATGGAATTTATATGACATGTTTATAATATATACATAATGTATTTGATCATATTCAGCCCATTACCCTCTCTTGTCCCCTAATCTCCTTTTTCTTCTGAACAAGTGTCCTACTTTTGTGTGTGTGTGTGTGTGTGTGTGTGTGTGTGTGTGTGTGTGTGTGTGTGTGTGCACGTGCGCGCCAACAAGTTTAACTAGGATTGCTTACAAAACATGAATGAGGAGGAGCATGGGCACCTTGCTATGATAAAACCCATAAAGAAAATGTCTCTCCCTCCCCCCAGGTAACCATTAACCTTCTATAAATCCTCAGGTAAGGGGTGAGGGCCATGAGCCCCTACCCACTTCGTGGCAGGATGCTGACAGGCTCAAGCTCTGTGCAGGTGATCATAGCTTTTATTAGTTCAGGGGTGCTGCAGCCCTATCACACCCAGTGTTCTGCAACACTCCACCCCATCCTTCTTTAGAATTGTTAAGAGCCTTCTGGTTTGGAATGCAAAGCCTTATGCTCTTGCAGAGCCATTTGCCTCACTTTGCAGCATCCATCAGGATGCCATACAAGGATGGGTTAGCCATTTCACATGCCGCTAAGGTGCTGAGGACATGTGCTGCGGTGGTGAGAGTAAAACAGACCTCTTCTTTCTCCGCTGCCCACACACCGGCACTGTGGTCTTACCGATGGGAAGGACACAGTCACAGCGTGGTTCTGGAGCTTCCCCAGAGGGGAACAGTGCACCCTCGTTATAGCAGAGGCTGTGACAAGGTGAGAGGAGGGGGGCACTGTTATCCTTACTCCCCATTTGCATCGTTCAGCCATCTTTGATATGCAAAAACTCTGAACAAAAAGTCTATTCCTCTGGCTTGAGAATCACGTGAGGAAACTTAGATAAAGCAAAAGAATGCAATTCCAGATGTGGGCACATAGGTTCAGTGAGATGGCTCCGTGGGGATGAGCTTGCCTGCCGCACAGTAACCTGAGTTTGACCCCTGGAAAGACCTCATGTGGAGGTCAGAGCCCCATAGCACACCTCCCCCTGTAAAAAAAAAAAAAAAAAAAAAAAAAAAAAATTGAATGAAAAATGTACCTCTCTGAAAGATTTTCAAAAAAAGTGGAACAACAACAAGATTTTGGCACACAATTATCATAATATTACCTCCAAACCAAACATAGCAAGCCTGGCCATCACTTTCCTCTATTCAAAAGGTGGCCCCATGTTGCCTTTCTGCATAAGAAAGGTGTGACTCACCTTGCCTTGTCCTTTAACCCTGTAGCATGATAGAGCAGCATACATTCTCCACTTCAGTTCCATGGTGGCAGCGATGACCACCTGTACTGTGGGGTAAAGGGTTTGTCCACCTCTTGGGAGTGTGTTCAGAAATGCTGTTGAGATTTTAAGGTTCTGCTTTTAACTGTTTACATGCTGCACCTAAGGGTTTAATTAGTGACCATGTCAGGGTTTTCTAAACTAAACGACCTTGTTCCCCCTTCAGGACTTGGGCCACAGCTTTCATTTGTGCTATTCACCACTCAGTATGCTTAAGTAGGCTCATTTTGTCAACTAAAATAAATTTACTTAGGAAAGCTCATGATGCTGCTGGAGATGGAAAAATCAGACTTGCCACATAATAGGTGGCAACCAGAAAACAAGACAGAATAAATTAGAAACTATAGTACCCCAAGATGGTGAGGTGAACCATTGTCTACAAATACCCCCCAACCAAGAGGGCTTCTCTGACTGTTGAGGGTACTAGCATTTTCCTTGCAGATACTGAAGTGACAGCTGTGGTTTCCATCCTTTTCACTGCTTGTCATTGTTTGACATTCCGTAAAACCATGTCCAGGATTCTTTAATATCAATGTACTACAATTATTGGCTTTACAGGTGCTCCTGAACTCTTCTGATAGAGTAATCCTGAGATGGGGTACTAGCTGTTACTCCAAAGATCCCATGTTCAAAATTCCTAGCACCCACAGAGTGGCTCATAATTGCTTGTTATAGTATTCCTCTAAAAAAAGGAAAAAGTAAACACCCAAGAATGGAGGCTCCTCAAAAGGGGGACATTCTGATGGGCGTTGATGGCACATGACTTTAATCCCAACACTCAGGAGGATCTCTGTGAGTTTGAGCCTGGTCTACAGAGCAAGTTCCAGGACAGGCTCCAAAATAATACAGAGAAACCCTGTCTCAAAAAAAAAAAAAAAAGTGGGACATTTCTATGACAACTCTGGTTTCTTTTAAGTTTACAAAAAAACTAACACTTTTTGTACCACCACCACCACCCTTTACAAATATCATATGGTGCCATGCAATTTCCAGAAGTAATGTCCCTGAACATGTGTTAACACAACTCTACTTAATTATCCCAGAACTTGACTCAAAGAGGTGACTTGAATTTATAGACTGGCAGGCACTGTGGGAGGACAGTGAGGGAGTTTGGAAGGCAGGAATAGTTTCATTCAACAATGCAGTAGCATCATAGAGCATGATGCCTCACATCCTCCTCTGGCTTCTGCACACATTCGACTGTGGATGAGCATCTGCGCATGCACCAGAAACTGGATTCTGAGATGATGAGTGAAATGCATCGCTGGAGCTTTCTGTTTTGCTGAGTTCTTTTTTGTATATGCATATGCATGTGTACATGTGTGTTTGTGTGCACATGTGTGTACATAGGTACATGTGCCTTTGTATGTGTATGAGAAGCTAGTGGGGTATGTCAGGTATCCTTCCTGAATTCATAGGTTTTAGTTATTTCCATTTCTGCAAAAACAAGTGCTGTCTAGACTACAGATTAATTCCATTTTTTCATGTCACTTCTGACCAGACAGTAAGCATAGAGAAAGCTAATTCACAATGCTTAAAATACATTGCTAAATAAATTGCCCTTGTGTGAGTGTTATTGGGCAATTTATCAGCAAGGTGTTTTGTTTCTCTGTGAGAGACCAGAAATCGATCCCTTGAATCAAACTACTTGATCGTTGTTTTCTGATTGTCCATTTACACTTCAAATTAAAGCTTGTCACTCAAGAGGTTCAGAGGTGTCCTTAAAGTCTACCACACTGCTTAGGACCTGGGATTGTGTGTAATTTCATATGCATACAAACCAGCAAATCTCTTAGGTATTTTTAAAGATATCAACCTG